AAAAGTTCATATAAAAATATGTCTTATTTAACCTTGCTTCGGAATTATAGCGAATTGGAGTTTTGATCAACTAAATGTATTTACATTCATAAGTGTTTAAAATAACCTTCTTATACTCGAACACAAGTTTTTTACAAGCGATTACCTCGCTCTCTCCATATTTCTAGCTATTGCTCGGATATATTCTAAGCTTTACTCAATCCTTTCACGAAGTATTTCCATACTGTTTATGGGCTTTTTATAGACAATGTATTTTAAATAACCCCACAAGTAAAAAAAGCCAGACAATAAAACAACAACGACCTATCCACTTGTTTGGAAATCGTTCGTTTAAAAATTGTCTAGCTAGTCGGTAGAAATACAGCCGTGGCCCCTATCATGCATAAACTACATGCGGTGTCTGATATCTAGTAGAACATCTTATTTCCATTTATCGAAATAATCATTGAAGTAGAAACACTATACGTATAATTCGCTATAACTCCGAAACAAGATCTAATAGAACTTTTTTTACTTGTTTTGATGTGTTGAAGCCATCCCTATATTTCCTACTTTTTCTGTTATATATACATCCTGTATATATACAATATAAAAAAATATTCACTGATTGCAATTGTGACATGTTAATAAAACTTACTAGGTTTAGTGTTAATATGATTTGACACGGTAGGCAATGCCATGGCTTGATCAATCATTTGTGATGAAGTAGTAACTAAGAAAACATAATATTTTAAAATAAATACAAATAATATTTTGGACATAACTAAAAAAGTACAAAACCAAATGAAAAAAGGTTGTATTTTTTAAAAATAAAGAATAAGAATTTTCATCAATGTTATACATACTTAAAGAAGTTTGTAATTCTTCGGTTACATCTGCCTTCGAATCTGTTTCTTGGATTTCACCTTCGTCCTTCAATACATTGTCTGTATCATTTTCTGTACCTGAATGACGTTCGACATGAGATACGTCTTCTTCTAGAGTATTTGTTATCAAGGTTTTCGTTGTATATTCGGAATCTGAACTTTGTGTTATGTTTGGAGTTGTAGTAATAACATTTGTTGAACTTATTATTTGTGTTCCTTGAGCGGACGATTTAGCAATTCCACAGGAAATAGGTGAGCTTGGTATATTAGCAATTAAAGTAGTCGCTGGATTATCCACATTTTTCGGATCATTGTTAGAACCAACACGACGAATAATATCGGGCGCTGAGAAAAGTGCTGGACCCAAAGTATCTGCTACAAATCCTGGAGACTTCTTATGTTCTTTACGTGAATGTTTTTTCATGTCTAAAACGAAGAAAAAATATGAAATTTATTTTAAAGAATCAATAATGTATATATATATTGTTATATAAATAATAAATAAAATATACAGTTACAAAAAAATACTAACTATCTATATTTTTAATTTCTACAGATTTGGTATTATCACCTTCTGTTTTAGAAATAAGATCCGTTAATTTGTCAGATTTTTTTCTTTCTTTCTTTATTTCCGGTGATTTAACTTTAATTGACATGATAGATGAAATAGGTTTGCTTTGTTGTGGTAATGCTTGATATTGTTGTATGGGGGTTGTTTGTATTATTGTTCCCTTTTCATGACCTATCGGTGTACTCGACACAGTTGATTTTGATGCTATTGGTAGATGCATTAATTTTCCATCTTTCGTAGATATCAATTTCGTCTGTACTTGATTCAAAAATTTTCCTTTTGGAAGGATCATTGATTTTTTTACATCCATGTTTTTGAGTTCATTGGCTTTCATTACAACTTGCTTTTGTACTAGAGTTAATTTTTGATTATTTCTTCCTTGGCCAGGCTTAGTTAGAATCATATCACCTTTGATCATATTGCTGCTAATTAAATTAGCTTTTACTTGGTTTGTCGTTTGCAAGTGTTTTTCAGTATTAATAGTTGCTTCATTTGTAACAGGTGATGCTTGCATATGTTGTGTTTCATCCTTTTTTCTTACTCCAAACGTCTTGAACTGTCTTCTGCCTCTAGCAGAAGTGAGTCCTGATAAAATTAAATATTTAATAATCTTTTTAAAATTATTATTAACACGTTCTCAGTAAATGTTCAATTGCCAATGGTAAATAGATTATTACAGATAGATCTAAACAAATGCTTAATATATTAATGCATACCTATCTTTTCCTCTTTCTCATTAGTTTTCATTGCAGTGACAGCAGCAGCCATTTCCATATCTAATCGACGCACTTGTTCTATATCTAAATGTTTATTAGAATTTCTTCTTCGTCCTGTTATGTATCCACCCCTAGTAGTTAAACCTTTCCGCCCACCTCTAGCTCTGAGTCCTCCTCTCCTTGGCCCTCGTGGACCAAAATCTGAATCATTGCCCGATGAAGGCTCTGATTCAGAAGACTCAGAAGGTGAAGGAGTACCTTCTTCCTCTTCTTCTTCATCATTGGATAGCTTATGTGCTATATAAGAAACATTTAATTATACTTTATTATACTTATATAGATACAATATTATATTATTATAGTGTACAATAAATAAAATATTTTATAAGAATATCAGTAATAAAAATGTATTTATTAGGAACATGATTAAATCGATATGACAATATAACCTCCAATACTTAAATTCATTGACAGTAATAAATAGCATGCTTATATTTGTACAAACTCCCTTTTGTAAATTAATTTCACCTTTAGATATCGAATGTCCTGTTGACTTTGATGCTCCGAGAGAACTCCCAGCTGATCGAAGAGAAGTAGATTGATTAGAAGCAAGAGGATTTTTCCGAGGGCGACCAATCGGTTTACCCTAAAATAATATATCGTAAAAAGAAAAATAACAACATTTCGAAAAACAGTTACTTACTGTTTTAGTATTTGTTTTCATTTTATCAACTTCATTAGATGGCAATGACATTGTTGACACTGTTGACGGAGAAGGAGAATGCGTATATTGTATGTCGCTAGAAGATGCATAACTTGACAGTGGTAATGAATCTTTTGGTTCAGAATCAGGTAGTTTATTTGTATAACAGTGATCCAGTTCAACGCTATATCTTATTGACTTTTGTTGTTCTTCTACGGACAGCATATCTAAAAAAAAAATAAATGTAATAAGATTTATTAATAAGATAATTATATTATTAATCTACATTTCTTTAAACTGTAACATAAACAAACCAAGCATCGCTGTAACATTTTCGCCTAATATTTGTTTTGCTTCCTCGCTCTGAAGAGCAGTTTCCAATCTTTCTAATTGTTCAGGATCCATTTCCATAAAAGGATCAACGAGTCCGCTTGCATCAGTAGTTGTTGCATTACCTATAGGTGTAATGTTCGAAGATGCAAAAGTTGGAGGATCTACTGTCAATGTAATATCTCCATTGTTAGTCCCTGGTTCACTTTGTCCCAATCTTACTACACTAACATTAGCATTCGATTGATTCACTGAAAACATATTTATATAGTCTTTACCAATAAACAAATAACATTCGTCTAACCCGATAATTGATACTTGATTTTCAAGGAACTTTATATTACCAAATTGTAAGAAGATTGTATAGTTCAATCTATATATTAATACAAATGCAAAGTGTCAATGAAAATCTAGACAAAGTTAATAAAAATTCATTATTTATTAGTATATTAATATTAAAATATATCAAATATTGTTGAAAACAAAAATAAGATCCATTAATCGATAACAAAAAAAAACAAGGCTAAAGCAAAATAATATTTAAACTGCTTTTACATATATGAGAATAATAATTACTTACTTATTAAATTGTGTAATGTTTCTTGATCTACTGATATTGTTCCATCATCACTGACTACAATAATCAATGTGTCATCCTGTTTCTGAGTCTCTTTTTCTTTCGGCTCAACGATATAAGAGCTAGACATGTTTTCAGATCTGTAAAAAGAAATTAAAATAGAATTATTGACAGTATTACAAAGTCAAGATAACGAAAACATTAACTCAACTCCCCACCCGTTTATCATTACGACAATAAGGTTATGTTATAGAATCTATATATATATATATATACAAAATTAATTAAAAAAGAATATATACAACGATATGACATACCTAGCTTCCGTAAGTGTAAATTCTGTCACTTCTATCGCAGTTTCATCTTAATATGTAAATAAGAAAGTAAATAGTGAAATAGTAACGTAAGCGGATAGATAAAGTCATGAAGTGTGATAAAATAAATGTTAAAATAGTCCGTTAACACTAAATCGAGGATAGTTTTCCACGCGTAAGTTAAATTTATCGCGATAACCTAATTATAATCTAATATCCGTTTTTTCGCAAACCAAATAAATAATACCGCCAACGACAAACGGGTAGCCATTTTGTTTAATCCATACACAGCGCCGTAGGAAAGTGTCGGTTGCGCGTTACAGCTCACTTACCATCCGCGTACTTCCATTAATGGAATTATTTACAAAACTTAAGTCTTTCTTTGAAGGCTTGCTACCTGAGGAATTTTACACGAAAGCACTCCACTTTCTCGATAAACCGCGCTTTTTTTAGTAAGACATTCTGTTCGTCTATCTACCATAACTGTGCGCACAGGACGCTGCGCGCTTCGCGTTGCGCAACGAGTTCAACCAAATGAACGAACGGCTTTAAGCGGCTAGAGAGAGATAAAAGATACACGACGCCAAGCTACTCCGTTCCTTTTCCTTTATCAGAAAGAAATAGAGATACATGTATGTGATACTGCGTTCTGGCTTTCATACTTATGCGCCATCTATTATACCATCTTTTACAAAATGCCAAACATTTTATTTTTCACACGCATTTTATATTTCGTATATCTTTATAATTAGATCTTATTGATATACAAATTTGTCTTTTAATTTATTACCATAATATTTAGGTAAATTGCTATTTCATGTAGAAGACGCAACGATTTTCTTCAATTAATGTTCAATCACTATTAATGAAATGGTTATAAATTAAGGTCAATGGGATATTGCCACAGTAAATATACATCACCGTATGTATCAAATTTATGAAGCTTTTATTCGCTTAAATAATATCATACCATTCCGATCAAAATATCTTTTGTCCGATGAACTTTTCTTTTCGTACTGAGAGATCGTATCATACCAGGTGCGATTTTCTTTTGGTATCGACAAAAAATCAAGAATATTATTAGCCAATCTTGGAATAATCGGATACAATACCAAAGCAGATATTCTTATACTCTCTAATGCGATAGAAATGACAGCCTTCAATTCCATAAAAGAATTTTGATTATCTAAATTTTTGCTTAATACCCATGGCTTGTGATATTCTACCATTTTATTTGCCATTTGTAATACGTTCATAGTCACATCAACTACGTTATGCAAATTATAATTTTTGTAATGAGATTGAGCATTTTTACTTAAATAATTGATGCTCTGTATGGTTTTAATAGCTATGTCTGATTTTAAAACATCAATAAATTCCATCGGATTAGGAACTTCACCCCATGGATTAATAATATTACCGGTGCACCGACTAATTAAATTACCTAATGTATCTGCAAGCTCTGCATTTATTGTCCTTAGAATTTTATTGTTGCTGTAATCTATTAAAACCAAAACAAAAATTATTTTTCTTTATGCTTCATAATAGAATGGACATATTGATTGAAATTGTAAACTTACTCGCATTGCTATGAGGAACGGCTTCTCTTAAAATGAAATACCTCAAACCCTCTTCTGTGAAGTTAGCAGCTGCTTCAAAAGGTGAAATAACATTACCTATCGATTTAGACATTTTTTTATCATCAACTATCCAATGTCCATGGCACAATAATGTTCGTGGAGGTTCCAGTCCTGCAGCTATTAAAAATGCTGGCCAGTATATCCCATGAAATTTTAATATATCTTTACCAATAACCTACATTTTATAAAAAAAAATATATTTTTTATTAAGCTTCACAAAGCATGTCAAACATATAATGTACCTGCAAACTTGGTGGCCAAAATTGCTTGTATGTATCATCTGGATAACCCAATACTGTTAAATAATTTACTAATGCTTCCAACCAAACATATATTGATTGATTTTTGTTTTGAGGTGTTGGGATACTCCAAGGAACTCTAGTTACAGGTCTCGATATACTTAAATCATCTAAACTTATATCCTCTTCTATCCACTTATATAAAATCTTGTGATATTTTGCAGGTTGTACTGTAGTGTCTATATAATAAAAAAATACTTTTCAATATAAAATAAGTATTTAATATTTAATTTATTGTATATAATATTATACCCTTTTTAATCCAATATTTCAATTCATCTTTAAGATTGCTCAATCTAAATTTATAATTGTCTTCTTCCATCCATTCAACAGAATGACCCGATTCTTTAGAGACTTTTATCTGTTTACCAGACGCATCTGTTATTTCATTTAATTCTATATTTGTAAGAAATGCTTCATCTGATGTACAGTACCATCCGGAATATTTTCCTAAATAAATATATCCCTTCGTGTCCAAAACATTCTAAAAATGTATGTACGTATGCGTTACTATTTCTATTGACGTTGACAATTGATATGTAATAACTTATCTTTTTTTATAAAACACATGCCAATGATCAAAAAAATATAACAACCCAGAAATGATGAACTGCATCAAAATGACGTTGCTCAGTGGTACGAATAAATGTAGAATAATTAATAGAAAACTTGTCACACATTTCCTTGAATTGTTTAGAAACCTGTATGCAATAGTCTGGTATTGGTATTTTAGCCAAATTTGCAGCTGTTTTTACTTTATTACCATGTTCATCCGTACCAGTGCTTAAAAATGTAGTATGACCAAGCATGGATCTGTATCTTGCAATGCAATCGGCTAATGCTGCACTGTACAAATGTCCAATATGTGGTGCTGGCATAAATATGAAAGATATAAGTAAAATCATTATACAAAATTATTAAATAAAATAATATTTAATCTACCTGCATTAACATAAAATATCGGCGTACTAATATATACATTTTTAAGTGCATCATTTGCCGCATCTGCATAATGCCTCTGTAAAATTCTGATTTGAAATATTTTTAACCTTTTTGATAGAAATCGAGTCATTTCTAACGCCTTTATGATTTCATAATTATTTATACATAAAATGTTTGATAAATAATATTAAATACTTTGGTATATTAAGTATATATAACAACGAATATATATCTTTTAATCTCACACCAGATAACCTGTAAAAAAATCAAATGTAAACTTCTTCTCTAACGTAATCGTACACATGCGCACGCAGAGTCAAAGTATGGAATGAAGAATTTTAGTTGAGGTCGTATAACAATTAAAAACAAAAAAAAAAGGGATAAGAAATAAAACAGATCCCAAGAGTTATCTAGAAAAATGGTTTGTATCTATTGATATAAAACAAAATTCCATCGGAATTTGCCATATGCCGTTAGGAGTTAGCTTATCTAACATTATCACGTAATTAAAAAAAAAAAAAATCATAGAACACATATATAAAAGATAAAAAAATAATGAATCGTTCTAACAAGGATACATTTTGATGAACGATCAAAGAGAAAAGTAATGTCCGTTAATTTTTATTTAAATGTTGTTGCTATCCAATGTCTAAATTAGGAAAGTTTTCAAAAGAATGTAAAAAAGCTTAGGAAAACATCAATGTTTCATAAACGTATATACGTCGGACGGTAAAGTTGGTGTGGCTGGTGCTGCCAGGCAACAATTGTTCACAAGAAACATGCGCGAGTTTTCGAGTCCTATGGCAGAAGAGGAGGAAAATCGTCGGTGCGTGTTAGAACCGGACACGGGCCTCCTATTTCATGCCAGTAGCACCCCTTCATCAGAAGGGGTGGTAGACGTTGATCTCTTTTTAGAGTTTATTGTACTAGTGCGCGTTCGAACGATCTTCGTTTTTAACAGCCGCGCAAATAACGCGGATTATTTTTCTTTCGCCGAACGGATTCTTCATCCTTTTTAAATATCATGGTAAGTTTGAAATATTTCACGTTCTATTTAATTGTCACTCTATACTTCCACTCAAATCTTATACGATAAATTTATTTACTTATTTCAACATTTTACGAGCTCACACGCCTACGTCAATGTATTCAGGTGACTTCTTCTTTTCATGTATTATTTAATAATGCGTTTCTTTTCGTCCCCTTGTTATCGTATCAGTTATCACGACTTTCGAAACGAGAACTAATTTTTTGTTTATTTTGTTTAAGCCTTTTTCATTTACATTTCTTTTCGATTAGGGTTCTCAACCGAGCTTTCAATCGTGCATCCCTTTTCTTAATCATAATTTTTCATGCATTATTAGTTTATTTAAAGTATACATTTGTTGGTGAAATCGTGTTTATTGATATATATGTCTAGAACATAATAATTAATCGAAAGAATACGTTTTTTATTACGTGAATGTCGTTGTTTTGCGATGGCGTGAAAATATGGTAAGTGGTGTACAGGCGAAACTTTTTTTAAATTATTCTTTTTTTATATGTCAATTATATATATACCAAAATATAAAAATAATATTCTTAGGAAAATCGTTAACGCGTTAACATCCTTTCTGACTGTGATAAAATTATGGACTTTTCTTTTTTTAAAGAAAATCACCATTTATATTCGAACTTGCAATATATGTGTAAATTAATTGTGTATTTAAAAATGATCAGATATTTTAAATATCGTTGAAATATTGAATCATGTATTCGTGGAAGGAAAATGACAAGAGAAAAGAATTTTTGTTAATGAAAATAGAGCAGATAGAGAGGTATCTTTTTGGATGGTAATATTCTAAATGCAGTTCGATGAAGAAAGTGGCGCTATCTCTGCATAGATCAGGTCACTATGTATATGGGGCTAACACTTATACCGGAAGGTCAATAAGGAAAGTGAAAACCTATTTGACGCAGCTTAATGATGACGTTTAAGTTCTCTTTTGCGCGGTATTTGCTAATAAGCTTTCAGCATAGATTAAGACTCTGATTGTTTCCAACGTAAGAGATCGTTATTCGAATTAAGAACTATTGTTACCTTTGATATAAATAAAGATGAAGATGAAAACAAATAAACATTTATGTCGTAAATATGATAAGTGTACCTGTGATACATCAAATAATTTTCAAATTTATTTATTCTCTGTTTGAAAAACAAAAGAATGCATTTTATGAAGCAACTCTACGTTTTAACGTTTTTAAATTCATCGTACAATTTAACAAGTATTTCGTTTACTTTTATATCATCTAAATTGTTCAAAATTATTCCATTAATGTAGTGTAATTTTCTACTTTTTTAAGAGTATTCGAATACTAGGTATATTCGTTTAATTATTGAATATCGAATGGCATAGTAAAACATTTGCATAGTATCGAATATCGAATCGAATAGTCAAACGTACGAATATTATCAAATATTCGAATGTAATCTCAATTTTACATCTCTAATGTTTTTTCATAAAATAATACGATGCAAGATTTGCTAGTGATCAAAATCGTTGCACATTTCAATTTATTAATCAGATTAAAAACTATAGTTTAGAATATTTTTCATGTATAAAAAAAGGTTCGAACTTTGGTATACAAAAATTCGGATTTTCAAAAACAAATGAAATATAAATATTCATTTATAATCTTAATGCATACTAAATGTGCGTTGAAAGATATCATAGATAAAGTTAACATTTTTGCGTATAAATCGTAACAATGACTACGACCGTGACACGCTTGCTTTTCACAGTCGAGAAGATAATTTAATAATCACCGTCGTTATGAGAGTACTAAAGGTATCTTCTTTTCGATATTAATACTTTGAATATAACATTCGCCATTGTGTTTAATTATTTTTTTTTTTTTAAAAGGAAAAAAAAATAGAAAATAAAAGATAAGAGAAAACTAATAAGCAATAATAATATTTAATTATTGATAAATACCCAATGAATCGATCGATCATTATTTTTATCTTTCATTTTTTTTTCCTTTTGAGTAGGAGTTACCGCTTCCTTCATCTCACCAAGAGAAGATCTTGCTTGAGGAAGCGAAGTTTATTGGAAGGAGAAGAACATGTTTTCGATTCCGCAATCGTAATTTCCGGAACATTTCGCAATTGTGCTTGGACGATCAAGTTTTAGCTTACTAGGTGAGTACTATGCCATATCGAGGATATAAATTCTTTTTTATAATATATCAACATTTTTTACGATCATTTTCATTTAATTCAAGTCTTTCCAACCATGAAATTTCATATTACGCTTCGTCAGCCTGTCATCTATGTTATTCGCGCATTATCGCGTTACATTCCATTTTCTCGTTATATTGCATTTTAAACGTACAATTATCTGTCAGAAATATTTTTCAAACATCAATTGTAACTTTCATTACTATTATTATTATTATTATTATTATTATTATTTTGTTAAAATTCATTTTAAAATAAAACGTCATACATGATATCGCATTTCGATTCTCTCTAATTGCTATTGAGAAAACTTCCTCAAGTTCCTTCCGGTAGATACGACAAACATCTGCCGTTGAGTTCGCAACACTAGCAGTTGCATTAATTATTGCAATATCAAGAAATCCGTAATTAAGTTTCCCAGATTCTATTATATGTTACACATATGTCTTGCAAGTTTGGATCAATATGCCAGTAAGTACTATACGTATACATATACATTACATACATCCATACATACATTGAAGGTGTAGCGAGAGAATGAAGGAGAGGAACGGAAAAGAGAGCTAGCGAGAGACATCACATGGTATCTGCTGACTGTGGTTATCGACCACCAGCCACGGAAGGTACTGTTGTCAACCCCCTCCTCCCTTATCCTCTCTTACAACCCCCTTCCAAAAAAAAAATCTTCAAATTCAAAGAGATTTCCGATTACCATTGGTCTTATCATAACAGTTCATGTACACAAATCAATCCGCAGAACTTTCAAACAATCCTTTCGGATGAAACGGAACGAAACTAAATGAAAGCTTCTTTCGATATTCAATCTAATTTACTTATATTACGATAGATTGTGACCCGTTAGACTATTATTCTTTTTATTATCGTATGTGTATTATAAATCATGCATTAACGTAGAATGTTTACATTCAGTAGATTCACCTGTACAAAGAGAATCGTATCAATAATTCGTTTATAGATCGAATCGTATTATAGTTACCAGTCTAGTAGGATTTGTTCTCCTTCTAATATTTATTTTAACGAATACGCAAACTCTTTAACTGGGCGAGCTACTATACACAAATATATAGGGTGTCCCCCCAGCTAGAGAAGATTACCTAGATATTTTCATTGTTTTTAATGATATGAAAAATGTTTAATAAGACATACTTGGATTGATTTCTGTTATATACTTCTTTCGAAATCAATCAAAGTATCTTTTAAACATTTTTTATATCATTAAAAAAAAAAGAAAATATTTAGGTGGCCTCTTTCAGGCTTAGGGCACCCTGTATTTATATTTATACATATATATATATATATATATATACGTGTATTGGTTATCGAAGAGAAAGAAACATATAAATCAATAGTCAAATAAAAGCGCGGATTGGCACGTGACTAGGTCACGTGAATTATCGAATTATTCGTTTCCTTATGAGTTGGTTATAAGGTAACCACGTCTCTTGTGCATACTTGTGGTTGCAAGGGAAACGCATAAGAAATGATATATCTTATGGTAGATATACACACATAACTCATCTCTCTCTCAATGTTCTTCTCTAGTAGTTTAAATGCTGAATCGTCATGTTTAGTGGTTATATTATACGATGATGTTTCCTTGATGTTAGTGCATACAATAAAAAAAAAATAATCGCGTAAGTTTTTAAAGTTTAATGATCGTTGCTTAATTTTTCGTATAAGATCAACGATTTAATTTTAATAATATGAACTATTCTTTTATCAATTTTTTTTTGTTCTCGACGTTATTTTCAAATATAATTTGTAATGTCTATTTCGTCGTTTTCATCGTTTTTACGTTATTAAAAACGTATCTGTCTGTATGTTTTGCCCCCCTAATCATTGAATAAATAAAAACGGGATTATAAATTATTTCGCAAATGTAAACGAAAGATATACCGTCCGTACCGTTTCGTAAATAAATTTGTTTCGAAGTACTTAACCACGTCATATTTTTATACTCGAAATGAATTACATACGCTTTATAAGAAATTAATTTTCAAATTGAACTGTCCGTTATTTTGATTCCATTCAATATTATTTTTTTTTTCTAATTTAAATCCACGAGATAAGAAAGAACACTTCTCAATCGACTTTCTTTATTATTCGTTGACCTACTTGTCGCTCCTCATGTATTTTATATATATATACGAATAAACGATCTATATATCTAAATATCTATTATAATTTATGTTTCTTGGAAAATTAAATAATAAATAAATTCGCAAATCCAATGATTGATATCAAACAATAAACGAGATTAGAAACGAAAGAACCACGTACACATATATATATATATATATATAATACATAAGAGTATATAAGAATACATAAGAGCGAATTGCAAAGGTGAATTCGCGTTTCTCAAGAATTCTTTATTATTCCGATAGGAGAGCGAGTGCTGCTGCTGTCTCGTAAAAGAAAATTTTACGGTGTCTCGAGATGTAGATACCACATATATACATATACATATACATATACACGTTGTTCATAGATAGATATCGTACGAGGCGCGTAAAATTCGAGCGAATGCGGGCAGTATGCGCACGAGATACAATATATGAACACACGCCGAGTGCGCTGCGCCATTTCGATCTAACCCGAATGAGTTGCCGAGGTCGTCATAGTGAAGAGAAGTTTAGCACAAGCTGCTAGTGCACCCGCAGACGATTTGCAAGTTCGTCAGTCGCGGCTCGGCGACGAGCGTACACGTATATATACGCGTGTTGTTCCTTTTATCATTCGATACCAACTATCGACTAAATTTATTTTTCTGTTTTTTTTTTTCTATTTTTCTTTTTTTTTTTTTATTTTCCTTTTTCGACTTTCCGTATATCGTTTAAACACGCGATAAATCACGACATAAAATTTGAAGTTTATGGGGGCATTACACACTGATGCACGCACGCACGCACACATACACAGAGTGCGATGAATCATGCGAAAAAGAATAACCGATGAAAGAAGAAGAAGAAGACGTACAAAGCCGGCCGACATGCGGTCAGTACGCTCTTACGAGTAAGCGTAAAATGGTATATCTAAATATAATTTTAGAGCCGACGGATTAGGAGATGGAAAAAGAAAAAGGGGGAGGAGAAGATGGAAGCAGTATGCTTTTTATTTCATTTTTAATTTTTATTTTTCACGAACGAGAGATAAAAAAATCATTGAAGAGGACGTAGACAATCTATTTTTTATTTTATTTCTTTTCTTCCCTTTCTCTTTCTCTCTCTCTCTCTCTCTCTCTCTCTCTCTCTCTCTCTCTCTCTATTTTTCTTTCTCTTTCTTATCTATTATTGTCCTTTTTTTTTCTTCGTTTTATTTTAAGATTATTACACACAGTTGTTATTATTTTTTTTTAAATTTTTATTTTACAGTAAATTCGATCACGCATAACGACTTCATGCATTAAACCTCGACGCACGTCTCTCGTGTTCCAATCTAAAACGCGTAATCGTATATATATATATATATATACATGCATGTATTTATGTATATGTGTGTATATACGTATTCTTATCGCCGCAAGATGTAATTAAATCGGACTTTCAAACTTTCAGTCACGCGATTTCCTCTCTATCTTTCCGTTGTGGGTGGATTTGGTGTGTCCACGCGAGACCGATATCTATACGAGTATACTATTTATTTACCACTCTCGCAATACGTTTTCGAAATTGAAAGACGAATATTCTAAACGTATCGCAAAACCCCAAAAGTAAATAAAAAAAAAAAAAAAATAACAATATTAATTAATCTTACGGAAAAATAACCGTTTATATCTTTATTTTGTGGTTTTTATTTCTTTGTTTCCATTTATTTTCATGTGCCGTGTTAATTAATTATATTCGTAGTTTAGATCTAGATATACTAATTTTGTATTATTTTAAGTATCAAGGAGAAAAGTTTTCAATGAGGACAATGTTACATATGTATTGTATATCTATCGTATTTTATAAACCTACATAGATTAAATATTTATTATATAAATATATATCATTTAGGTCGGTTGTTTTCGTTTTAGCGTACCACGAAAAAGCATAAACTTCATTTGCGTTCATGCATGCGGTTAAGTTGCAATACGAGGGCAGGATACTTTCCGTCGAATTTGCTGCAGCACGTGTTCAACGGTTATGAGTCGTTTAGGTTTTATAACCACTAGTACTTCACGCGCCGCGTATTTACCGTTGCACGATTCTCTTTCGGTTTATACCGTAATAGTGATTTCTTAATCTCATTGAAATTAGATTTAGATCTTCATTTGAAATTATCATTGAAGTAAACACTCGATTAACTAATAATACTTTTTGCGATATCGATCTTTCGTAATTTTCCATTTTTTATATGATTTCAAAAAATCCAATTCGATTTGTATCGGTAGTTTGATATTTTTATTAATATAATTTAATGATTGAGTTTTTTTAATTAAAATATCTTTTTTTCTTCTTCTTTTTTTTTTGTGGTTATTTAATTTACGTCATCATACATTTCCATTTTCGTTTTCCTCAATTAAATTATCAATTTTGTTAATTATTTGAGTATTTTAAATATAGAAAATGTAATTATTAAAACAATGTTTTCTTTTTGGTGTATCAATTATTGATAATTAATATACGAAATGCGCCTGTAGGCAGATAACCTGTCGTACACGCAATCAAGAATGCATGCTTCATTGAATCTTTCTCGAATCTAAATGAATTAGAATAATTTACAAGGTGTAATAGTAGTCTTGATAAATGAATCGATATCTATTGTATGTACATAGTTAGAGTCACATATTACAACACACACACACACATCGATTTTCTTAATACCGCAATCTCGTCTCGCTTCGTTCGTTGATTTTGCTCGATGAAAAAAGTATTATGGAAGTATGTCAACCGTCATGTTGTTTGATCGAAGAATGAACAAAAGATCTACTGTGTTCATTCGTTCGTTTATTTATACGTTTAATATTCAATTTTTCTTATATTTATAATTTTATTTAAAAAATAGTAAATTAAAAAGAAATTCTTCCGTTTTAAAATAGAAAAATATAAAAAATTTGTAATTTTAATTGAAAGGGTTGATTGAGTTTGCCCAGATGTTATTTCACATTTTACGCGTTAAAAATAATTTTCTTCGAACGCACCGTTTTACTCGTGTATTTGCATAATTGAATTCAAAATGAAAAGAAATTAGTTTACTATGCACAATTCCTATTAGCAACGATCTAATTACATCAACTACGCAATAAACTAATTTTTTATTCTTCTAATTTAAGAACAACATACGTAAGTGGAACATACTTGCAACCTGCTGACGAAAATAACAAACGGACGAATTATCCTTCTGATTTTTTTTTATTCTCGATTGTTCATTCGAACGTTAAACAAATAATTTTGAAAGTAAATCGCGCGTTAATAAAACGCAAAGTACACATGTTAGGGTAGAATAAAAAGAAGATATTATTAAATTCTGTTATAATATTTGAATATGCAAATTATAAGAAACTTAAGAAACGCATACATATGTACATAATACGCCTATGTAAATATTTACATAGCAATCATCAGTCTTCTTATTCATTTATTATATTAAAAAAAATAAATTATAATTATGTATTAAAAATGTTCATGTAGTAATACTAAAAATTCATATATACTTTAAGTGTAGAATTTCGAAATAGGCTACAAGGCAACGAATTTTAAATTGTTCTTAATTTACAACAAATAACGTACCTTTATATTTTCTTTTATTAACGTAAATAGAATAATCTAATCTAAGATAAATGAAAAGTGAATAGTTCTTGCACGATGTATAATTGATCGTGGTGTGTTATTATTGTCTGTTAGTTTACCTACTTTCAATATTTATCTCGCTCTTTCATATAATCCTTTAAGAATCGTGCTTTTTTTTGTTTTTTTTTTTATATACGAACTTGATTGCGTGCGAGGTACTTTCATGTGTAATATATTATGTGGAGAGAACGTATCCGTTATACAATGCGATCGCACGCACATCGATTAAAATGATACGGGTGTATTAGTGACGTCCTTGTATTATCTAGCTAGTATAAAACACGATAAATTATTTTATGTAAATTGTGGCTTAGCGTACAGATGTTGGAGAGCAAAAGAGTTCTAGACTATTGGACGCCGTGAAACGATACTTCTATGGGGTCTAAAATTACTTTTTTTTTTTTATTATTATTATTTATTTTTCGATCTACGTATTATTGAATCGATTGATATTAATTATTTAATTATAACTCTCGAAATGTCACGATCTAAAAAAAAGAAATTTTTAATTAACGAAAGAAAGTATAATTAAACGTTTTATTTTTATTTATATCGTTCAAGAGGGAATGAAAATGTGCAGAAACGAATTGGTTCGATACACGTTTGATATATATATACTTTAAGATCGAATAATATTTTTTTATTATATTAATCGTGCTTTGAAAAAAAAGTTAACAGTCAGTCTTTTTACCTTCGCTTTGAGAATGAAATTTATACATAAAAGAAAAAAAAAAGGAACCCAAAGAAAAAAGAGAAAAAATGAAAAATCTCGGGATTATTTAATTTGTTATCGTGTGTAGGTAAACGTGTAAATTTTAAGAAATGTCGAGAGGCAGAAGGCGCACGATTATAAGCGAAAAAACGTTTTTATGTTATATTCACGATCCTCGTTGATGATGTCTTAATTGGTCGCTTTGTTCGACGTAGGAAGAGAGAGATAATAGGGTACTCGTATCAACGAACGAATCACATGGTCTCTCTCTCTCTCTCTCTCTCTCTCTCTCTTTCTCTTTCATTCTCTTATTTTCTCTTGCAGATCACAATTTTCAATCTCTTTGTCTTCTGAGAAATTCGTCGATTCATGTAGTAAGAAGAGATTCGATTTGATATTGTATTATCGTTCGCCTCACAAATACATTAATAATGGCAGTTTATCGATAGAATTTCAACTGAAAACGGATGTTCTTCCTGTTAGTTTTATCGCATTACGCCTTCGCTTTGCGTCTCGGACAAAGTTTATCCAACGCTTATTTCTCGAGCTTCCTCGTGACACATGAATACAATCTGAGATCAAAGTCTCTCTCTTTCCCCAAAATAATTCTAAATATTTATTTGTGGATTTGTATATATTCATATTTCGACACATTCATTCGGATACATTTGTTTTTATTCAAATTATTGTTTTATTATATTTAATAATTAACTCGCGTCGTTTAATTACCATGAATGACTGTTCTATAAACTCTTATAATTCATCCAAATCTTGTGATAAAAGTAACTCTTATTTCATTCTGTATATCGTAAGTGTAGGATGTGTGTGTATGGAAATAAAAATTTGTATGTAGGATATTAAATAAACATCGTTCCTTCCCCTATCGTTTATACTATTCTTGGAAGTTCGAAAAACGAAGAGGCTACTTGTGATATAGGAACTCTTTCTTATTAACGACGATGAGGAAATGAGGGAGGTAAGATATAGGGGCTAGAAACGGTGAGGAAAAAGAATGTGTAAGAAACGAAGAGTCGTAAAGAGTGGAATTATTATCGCGAGTTTGTTGATAAGCATTCTGTATGAGATGATAAATTTGAGTTGGAATGGTTCTTATCAAAAATCGGTATCTGTAAGACTGAATTAAATTTTATTTCTCATACAAAATATCCTTTTTTTCTTTTTTTTCTTTTTTTTTTTTTTTTTTTTTTTTTTCCATTTTATCCCACATAACTTTGATTTTTATTTATCAACGATCGAATTTAGAAAATTAATAATTGCGATGAACTTGTAGATTATTAAATAGATTGTATTATTTAACAAATGATTCAATAATTATTGGTATCTCAAATATCTCTTATTTTTGATTTTACGGTTGAATATTCAGGACCAACGTGTTAACTAATTCTAAAGGGACACACATTTAACGGTCGAAAGAATTTTTTCCTCGAGGCCATCTTTTTATGAGATTTAAAGGTTATCAGTATATTTTTTCTCGCATCAATTAATTTCTCGTGTCTTTGTAAATAAAAAAAAAAAAAAAAGTGAATAGGCTAGAAAAACATTTTCTTAATACGTGCAATTTTATTGAGCTTTATCTTTTGTCGAAAGTGTTTAAGTAATAAAGATAAATGATTCAAGGTTGAATTCGTATTAAAAATTTAATTATCCATACTTTTATATCAATGTATAAATAGTGTATTATTTATTACGATTATTTCTTTGATATATATATATATATATATTTGTAACGAAATATCGTTCAAATAAAATTCATTCAAAAATGATATTCAAATTAGTGTTTAATTATTAATTAAATTGATCGTTTAAAAATAAAAAATCAACTCTTCGTTAATATTTAATCACAAATTATTTATATATTAAGACGATAGAAGATGATAATTTATAACGTTTATCGCACGCGTAGCTTATCCATTTATTTTAAGTTCTTTATTCACGATATTTATTAAAGTTTTCTTTGCTATCATTTAGATATTAACTTAATTATCAGTTATATTCAATGAAACTTATCAAATTAATAAGCTTAATACACATTGGTTAGATCTTATCGTAATCGGTAATGATAATGTTTTTTCTTATCAAAAATGTATGAAATATTGGTAAACCCATTGATTTTTGACAGGTTAGAAAACTTTAGAGTCGTAAGAAGAAGTAACAACGACGATATAGGCAAGGTATTCAATGTGTACAACATTATCAGTCAGGTATCAAAAGAGTTTACTAAAAATCCTAATCTTCATTTTTTAAATAATTGTTTAAGGACAGATAAATATTGGAAAATATTATGATTGCAGGGACTTGTAAGATGAAACCGTCCATGAAAATGGGAATGATAGCCTTAGTAGGTGTTTGCGTGGTATTTTATCAATACCATTTATCCACCGGGGTTAGATTCGATCAGGCAATTGATTTTAGCGCCGGTGGATCTATCGATGACGAGGTTGAAACACGTCATATTAGATTGCCAAGGTTTACCTCGGAAATGGTAATGATTTTTTTGTGATTAAAATTAAAAAAAAAAGGAACAAAAAATATCTATATATATATCTCTACATATACCATTTGTAATTTCATAATTTTTCTTCAAAATAAAAATGAATTCACAGATAATGAATGCGGTACGTCGAGTACAAGACTTGAACGGTCTCAGTCCGGAAGTTGGTACGCTGTTATTCAAAGAAATTTGGTTACAATTGAACAACAAAAATGTTCTTGAAACAACGGAAAACGAGTCGCGAATTTTACAACCCTGTCCAAAAGTTGTCACCTCGAACGTCGCATGTACGTCGTCGCCGCCTTCCACTTTATCATCATCGTCGTCCATGAAGAATGAAATATCATCATTAGATCCTCTCTACATCATCACCCCAACTTATCGTAGACCAGAACAAATTCCAGAGCTCACTAGGATGTCTCACACGCTTATGCTAGTCAAAAATGTTCACTGGCTCGTAATAGAAGATGCATACGTTGCCACGAAACAAGTTACCAGATTACTCGAACGTACTAAATTAAAATTCGATCATTTGACGGGTGAGTATACCTTCTGTTTCGTTTTCCAATACTTCGTCATCGTCAAAAAGCTTTTTCTCTTCTGTTATGCTAAAAAATTCTACTTTTAACGACTCTCCTCCGTAAAAAAAAATATACGGATATTTTTGTTCTCTGATTAAAAAGAGAAGTCGTTGAAAATTAATTAAGTTAAGTACACCCGTTCACAAGATCATTTTAAAAGTAAAATATTAATACCGAAAGAGCGTACTTTATTGATCGGTATATTCATATTTTTTGATTTATAATATATATCCACATTTATTTCATCTGTGTTTGTGTGTGTGTGTAAATATATTCATCGTTTTTTTTATTTATATTTATTTTAAAATATTATTACGTATATAATTTCAATTTGATGTGAAAATACTCTTATTAGTAATTATAAGAAATAATTCGTAATAAAGTAACGATCGTTATTCGTTTCAGCACCGATGCCAGAGAAATATAAATTTAAAAATGGTGCAAAACCACGCGGTGTTTCCAACAGAAATCGCGGCTTGCAATGGATAAGAGCGAACGCAACGAAAGGGGTACTTTATTTCGCTGATGACGATAACACCTACGACATAGCTTTGTTCGACGAGGTAACACGCTCATTTTCCGTAGACAAAAATTTGCCTATTTTTAACAGAATATTTTATTTTTCAAATTATCAAGATATTAATATTTGATTGTCAATGTTAAGCAAAATTTAAATTGACTTATATCTCAATTAATATATGATCAATATTTTTCATACACAATTTATCTTTATATGTAATAGATATAATAAACTAGTTGATATTATAATAACGTGATAATATTATAACAAGTTTATTATTAAAACACTATATTCGAGAATTGTCAAACATACGAACATTTCAGATCCGCAAAACAAAAACGGTGTCAATGTTTCCGGTTGGTCTTTGCACCAAATTTGGTTTAAGCTCGCCGATCATAAAGAACGGAACGTTTGCTGGTTTTTACGATGGATGGGTCGCAGGTCGTAAATTTCCCGTCGACATGGCAGGTTTTGCTGTGAACGTTAAATTTTTACTTCAAAGGCCAAACGCGACGATGCCGTTTAGAGCTGGTTACGAGGAAGATGGTTTCTTGAAAAGTCTTGCACCATTGGAACCACGAGACGTCCAATTATTAGCAGACAATTGTACGAAAATACTTGCGTGGCATACGCAAACAAAAAAAAATGAACCGAGTGCACCATTGAATATGAAACTTTATGGCTCGACAAATCTCGTCAAATTGAAGGAACAAATAGTATGATGTCTGGTAAAATTTAACATCATTTACCGAAGATAAGAAAGAGTCCCAAGTACTCGTCCGTTTTATTTCTCGGACCTGTTTCTACGATGGATAGGTGCAAGAAAAAAAAGCTATGTGATTTAGTGCCTAAAGTATTTCTCCTATTTGTAATCTAAACAAAAAGAAAAGGAAGAAGTTGAAGAGGAAAAAATAAAGAAGAATAATGGGATGTTCTTAAGCTGAACCATCAAAATGACGGCGAAGCCTTTGATTAAACTTTGAATTTAAAGGCAAACGTTTACCTCATAGCCGTGGGATCGAAAATAAATCTCCTACATTGCAGTAGTATTGTTTACTGTAGCATAGTGTCGATATAGTGCATTTTTAATTATGAAATATAAATATATAAATATATAAATACATGAACACTCTCCTGTGCGAACAGTACAGACCAATGACCAATCGGGGGGAGTTTAATCGATTCTAGTGAGCATAGTGATAGTGACAGATTTTTTGTGAGAATGAAGGGTGAGGGGAGCAATGTAAAAAGAAAACAAAAAAAGAAACAAGAAAAAGCGAGTAACTATCTCTGGACCAGTAAAAACATAGCGCGAGTTTGAGAGCTCGGTACACGAATTGAATCCGCCTAAGCCACCAAATATGCACTTCATTGTATTCAAATAAAATATTATTAATAACCAGAGATTTTTTTGTCTATCGTATTTGGGACAGTCTATGCAGTCATATTTGAAATAATAATAATTTCAACTTACGATTTTTTATTGGAGATTGGACATCGTTGCATGCTAAAGCTTTATACCATAAAAAATATTGCCAATGTAGTATGTCATTAAGTCGAAAGAACTGTTTCTGAAAAAATGATCTACCATTCAATCAATATCTTGAAAAAAAACCTTTTACTGTAGAAAAAATATCAAATATGAGTTTATTAGAACTTATTATTATAAAAGAGATCTAATTGTAATTATTTAGATTAATTTTTGTTTGAAGATATTTTGACATTTAGATTAATAAAAATAATGAAAATGTGTCTTTTAAGATCTTAAGTGATTTAGATCACTTTTATAATTACTAGTTCCTTTATTAATAATTTTTGTTAAATATACATACATTTCCACGAATCATCACTCTTCGTTGATATGTGGTCCTCTTCTTATCATGATTGTCCTTTAATTTTAACGTGACAGATCATTTCCATTTAAGAAAAGAAATGTATTGTGGTCAAGTAAATTCTATGAATTCAATAATGTGGTCTTGATATTGCACTATTGTAAATTGACTTATTTGTACATAGAGAGCATGCCGTGCTTCCTAGGCAGAAAGTTATAAATATCGCATATAAAATACCGAAGGAAAAAAGGTCAAGATTTTTTTTATTTTTATTTTCGGTTCGATAGCCAGTGTTGATTTGATTAATTAAATTACTAGGTAGCTTGTGTTAAAGTGTATAAATTTTTAAGCGTCGTACACATCGATTTTATTTTTTTTCGCACAATTAATTTGTCGATAATTACTGTTTTATTTTTAATTTAGCATAATATTAATAATTATTTTGATAAAGAAATAAACTAGAAAAAAAGAGAGAGAGAGAGTTGTATCAAAAAAGTTTTGCATATCGTATTATGGCTGTCAACGTTTTGAATAATTTTAAAATTGTAAAAGCGTTAGTTATATTCTGCACCGATTTGTGTAAAGTCGAAGAATGTAGCCTTTCCGATAACAAAAAACGAAAAAAAAAGAAAAAATATAAAAAAAAGAAGATATCTCTTTCCTATTAAAAAGAATACAATCACGAATTAGTAATCGAATCACTTAAAAAAAAAAATTCTATAATAAAAATAAATACTACTCACACATAAATAAATATATATAGCCTAGAGGAAAATTATTACATATTTAAAAATAGGGCATTTTTTCTCAAAGGTTTATATACAAAGTAAACGGACATTACAATGAGTTTTTAAACTTATGATAGCGTTTCGATTTTATTTTTTATTTCTTTTTAGGTATATATATATTAAATAATATATACAAACGACGTTGTAAAAATGAGAGATAGAATGTGAAAGAAATGCAATGAACAGATTATTCCATTAATCGTGTTGACGCAGAAGTCAGTAAAAGACAAATATGTATTTACGTATACATATATATATTTTTGCTGCAAATCATTTTGCAATGTACAAAAGAAAAAGAAAAGTCTTTATATAGTTTTTATTTTTTCGAGTATATCCATATTCCTTGTTATGATTTTTGTATCAAAGTATTTACTTAAATACAATCCCCTTTTTAAGATAGAAACGAGAAACAAAAATGTAATAAACATAATTAAGTTTATTATTATTAAATGCCTGTCATTTCCTATATAATAAATTAAGTTTGTTTAGGTTTTAGGCTTAATACGAAGATCAGTTGTTACTATTATAATTATTATTATTATTTATAATGCGTTGTATAGTATATTGTAGATGCATTATATTGATGTAAAGAGTATTGAGCAATAATATGATAAATACAATAATGAAAAAAAATTCAAAGAATATGTTCTATTATATTATATTATATTATATTAAAATATAATGAGAGAGGTCAACAATAAAACAAGAGTATCACTCTCTCGATAAATATTATAAAATGAAATTCAACTTCTATTTATAAATTTGGAATCATTTTTCTCATATAGGATTCCAACAATCAAATGTACATATGCTTTTCAAATTGTATATGATAAATATTTTGACGATAATTATTAAAAATATATTACTGACAAAATAAAATAAATGTTAAGCGTCGGAATGATTTTTATTATACGAATCGTCAAATTTCCATCATATATGTGTAATCTGGATTTTACTAACGCGTATGTACGCGTGAAACATTAGCGACGAATACAAAATTATAAAATTATTACATGCGAGGACTGATCACAAATATCATAGAAAATAAAAAAAAAAAACATTTGTTTTCATAGACGCGTAAGAAGAATACTCAAATCTATTCATTTAATCAATATTCTAATTTTCGTGCGACTGCTAATATTGGAACTACAGAGACTGTATATGATGAACAAATACTAAATAAAAAAATTAAAAAATAAGTTGTTATTGATTCTTATTTGCAAATAAAATTTTTATTTCATTTCAATCATCTTCATTCGATTTTCGATATCTTATAAATATATTATATGTTATTGGAAATAATAAAATAACCAGAATGAACAAATCCTAATTTAAAATTAGTACAATGGGAAGAAAATAGCCAAGCTTGACTATGCGCTTATACTGAAGTCAGTACTATTCTATTTTAAGATACTCAAACGAAATCATCCAGAAATGAAACGTAAATCTAATTATATCTTTTAGACAGAGTATTGTCGTCTCAGATAACTTTTTACTGTCTAAAACAAAATTATAAATTATTTTGTTTTATAATTTTATCAATGATATATGCTTTTCTACAAATGAATCTAGTCAGAATAGATTCCTAGCTTCTGCATTTTATTAACAATTGACCGGAATTATTTTACCAAGATATTCTCTGGGGATGAACTTGATCTTCCCAATAAAATACTTTATTAACAAATATAAAAAATTGTAAAAGATTGACTATTAAATTCGTGAACGATTCCATAACAATTTGCCAATTTTGCGGTTTTCTCATACTCAAACGATAAAAAATATAGGGGATAATAAAATAACGTGGTTCTAATAATAACTGTAGTACAAGAGCTATAGCTGTGCAGAAAATAAAATTAATTTGTGTTGCGAATCTTATATGACTTATTCCATACAGCGCGCTATAAATGGTAAAACAATATACAGGTACTAACATATATCTAAATAGAAAATATTTCCCCATAAATTTATTCCATATGTAAAATGTGTAATGTCTATTATCGGCTAATACATATGGATGAACAAGGGTATTGCAATGAACTATAATTGTTATAAGTGCAAAAATGAAACTCGACAAGATCCAATGATCCTGAATACTTTGAAAAAATTTGGAACAATGTGGTATCATGTAAGGCCATAAGAAAGAAAATAGAAAAACTGAGAAATAAAATAATTGCGGTATATGAATAATTGGTACATGCGCAGTACGATCACCAACAACAATACCACCGTTCCAAATAAGAAAAATTAAAAATATTATGCCTACCATTATATAGGGAAAAAGATTAATAATTATTTTAATAAGAAATTTAATAAATGAGATTTTACCATTATTTGCTTCATCCACTATACTCTTCCATAATAACTAAAAAGTACATAATCTTGTCATATTCTGCTCACAACGAGTATATAAAACTATGTCATATATTTCTCTTAATTTTAATACAATATATTGTCTTACCTTTAAATGAATCGGTGTATTAATGGCCATAGACGTCGCAGGTTTCTGTGTATATTGATGTATTAAATCCACCAGACGTTCCAAGGTGAGAAATATAACCCAAATAACATTTGTTTGTCTGATCAAAATGCTTAATAATCCTAGACAACATAACAAGTACAATGTAACAATACATATTTTTATGCTTTCAAAGAATATATGCATTTGTTAAATAAAAGTAAGTATTATTAGTTATTGTACGTACCAGCGAAAGCTGAGATTTTATAATACGATTGAAAGTGTAGTAATAACATCAATAATACAACATTAACAGATACAACATCTGTATAATATAGGAAAAACCAAAAAAATAATGGAGGAAACATTGTAATATCGTATGCTATTTCTAACTGCATCCAATCTTCCCAATTATTTTTATGTATTTGCTTCATTAAAGAATATGTAAGATAAAAGTTAGCAAATGTACCAAATAAATTTATACATCTTATATAAAATATACTACAAAGATTTAATGGAGATAATATTGCAGCTGTGAGAAAATACAAGCCAGGTAAAGTTGTAATTTTTGAGTCCCACTGAAACAAAAACAATGCAATATAAAAAATACATTATATTAATTATTTGATGTTTATAATATTAGTAAAAAATAAGAAATAAAATAAACTTTCTATTTACCACAGTAAAATTTCCATCGCAATAATGTAAAGTTTGTGGTATGTGAAACATTTCATCGATATAATAATACGGTTGGATTTTATTTAAATAAATAAAAAGTGATGAAGTACTTGTGATAAATATAATAAATAAAGCATATTTGTACATTGAGTAATATGTTGATTCAGACTTGAATTTTAACAATATCATTATTATCGCTTATATAATTAAACAATGTGATTATTGTTAACAGATAAATATTATCTAACTTCGGGAAATCCAACACGTATAACAGCATCTAACCTATAATATTCGTCAACAAGTTAACAGACAAGTTTAAATAATGGTATGTTATATTATGTAAAAAATAGAGTGATTATATAAGTATAAAAATATTATTAATTGCATAAATGTATACACGAGTTTACCCTACTACGATCGTAATGGTTTATATCACTTTGAATTTTCTTAATTAAAATTTCGCGCTTGACAAAATGGTGCGAAAAATTTTAACTAGTCGCGTTAATGGTAATTCCTGATTGGTCGAGTTTCCGCTTTCGTTATGTTTGTCATTTTCGTTTGAGCGGTAAATTTTATAATGTGAGTACAAGTATTTTTATCATATTACATTGTTTTGTTGATAAATATTTTATTTATAAATATATCTTGTGTGTTTTATAGTATTATAGTTTATCTATTTATTTTCGAAACTCGTTATCTAACTTAAAAATTGTGAACATTACAAGAAATTAATAATCTAAACGTTCGAATGATTTTTAAATTTCGTGCAGCTGTTTATTAACAAGGGGAGAACAAATAGTATCGTTTCTAGCTTATCTATTGGTTATGAGAACATAACTATAAAAATCCTATTTAGTTAATTTTTTGAGTTGGTATGAGTTCGGCCTAATGCCGATTGCCATATGAAAGCGAAGTTCAAGCAAGTGTTGTGCATCTAAGTGTGGATGAGTTAATCTTGGAAAAAGATAGATCTTTTTTTAAAGGTAAGCTAAAGAGAAATGAATTATTAATTTAATATTTATTAGTATATTATTTAACGTTCAATAATATTCGTGTATATTCGATTGAGAAATCAATAATGAAAAAAAATATTGTGCCAATATTCGCCGTTTCCTCCAGCCATACCTGAGTACAATAATAGATTTGGCTGGAACCTACAACCTGATTAAATAAATAGTATTGTCTATCTCTGAGTGCACCGTCTAAGTGGCAGCCAATTATATCTTAATTCGTCCCAAGGTATCGCCTTTGTTATTACAAGTGATACTTATTTTTTTTTTTTAATTTTAGTGATCAACCCTATCCAAGACTCCTAACCTTATTATTTACATTATTATCACGTTTATGTGAATAATTATTACGTGATAGAAATTATAATAATTGTAATAATATTCAAAGAATGTGATTAATTGAGAGAACTTGTTGCAATAAAAAAATATCTATGTATAAGTATATATGAGCATATGTATATATTTTTTTGTCTGTCATTGCACAAATAATATATTTTTTACCTAGCGAAGAAGCATGGAAGGCCAACAATTTTGTTTACGGTGGCATAATTTTCAAAATACCCTGTTAAGTTCTTTACCAAAATTGTTGGATGGCGGACACTTAACAGATGTTACTTTAAGCGCAGGAGGAAGACACATTCATGCTCACAAAATAATACTTTCAGCATGTAGTTATTATTTTAAAGAATTGTTTAAGGTACGTAGAAGAAATCTAAATGGAACGTTTAAACTATTATTAGATTATATCATATAAGAAGATGCATGTTATACAACTTTTCTTTTATTTGCATATTAATTGTTTGTAGGACTTAAGCTCTTTACAGCATCCAGTCATCGTATTACCAGGCATGGAATATGGAAATTTGTGTGCGTTAGTTACATTTATGTACAGTGGAGAAGTTAATATTTATCAAGAACAATTACCTGCACTTTTAGCTATGGCTAATACCTTACATATTCGCGGCTTAGCTGATATTGGTGGGGTAAGACAATATTCCTTCATTTTTTTTTCTTTTTCTTTTATTTTTTTTTTCTTTCTTTTCTTTCAAAACACATACGACAAGGTGTGCAAATTATTGTTGCTTCATTTGATATTTTGTTATATAATATATCTACAGTTATATGACAAGTTTGTGTGATACCTTGAAGCTTTTTTATGTAGGGTGATTTGTGATAGATTATATTTTTATATTTGCATATATAAAGAGAAAAAAGAAAAAGAATTAAGTCTCATTTTTAATTATTTGATTGAAAATTATTTTGACGAATTTTTTTAATTGATAAACGATTAAATGATTTTTATATATTGATTTTATGCTATATTTCTTATATTATAAAAATTGCTAAAAATTATAAATGATAAAATGAATTATACAAGTCCTGTATCTTTGTAGGTTGCATGTCAGAATGTTAGAAAATTTGTATTATTATTATTGTGAAATTAATAGTTACAGAAAATATATTTTATATGTTCTTGCAAGAGTCCTAATAATCAAAAGATTGCCCTTTATTTGTCCTGCAAGATTGCTTCCTCCATCTTGACTTAAAAAGCCTAGATTTCAATTTGTGACAACCAATTGGCTAACTCTTTTAGTTAAACCTGGGTTAATGTTTAAACCCCTGTCTCTGTGTGTTTCATTATCTTTTATGTCTTTCTCATCCATTTTTGTGATTAGTTATACATAAAGTTAGATTATTAGTGGAAACAGAAGAAAAAGATAGTATATGCGTAGATATATTATCCAATAGAGATGTATTTTACAAAAAAAAAAAAAAAAAAAAAAAAAAAAAAAAAAATAAAAAGAAAATAAAAAGAAAATAAATATTAATATTAAATAAACTTTTTAGTGGAGGAATCAACTTTCGAACATTTACTTTTACCAAATACTATAATTGTACAATAATTTAAAAAAAAATAGCATTGTCGCTTTTTCCTTTTAATCTCTTTATATTACCCTAGGATCGTGTTGTTTTGTTCAGGTCACTTAAACATTCAATGTCGTTCCTCAAGAAGTACCACTCACGGTGGAATTATCTGCTGCATATAATATTCATACGTGCCTCAAAGGAACGATAATGAATACAAACGATATCCACGAGATCAAGATCGTTGTGTGTGTTGCAACTAAATGCAAGTGGATGCATCCCATGGAACCTTACCCCATAGAATGAATTTACAGGTATATCTAAAATAGCTTTCTCCATAAAATCATGATGTTACTAAAAAAATTTTTTATGGAAAATTTATAGCTGTGGTCTATTATATGTTTGCTCACTTTGCAGAATAATGCTTTTATATTTGTGATGTCCATAACATTTATTATCTAAAAAAGTATTCTTTCTTATTGTGTAATATTGAGAGATATATTGCATGGATGATTTTAACTTATTGTTAGTAATATTGGGAATTCTTGGTTGTTGGGTACAAAAATAAACAAAATAAGAACTATTATTAACGATTGTAAAATAAAATAATCAAATTAAATGATAGGTATAAACAGCATTTAATGAACCCATAATTTGCAAAGCTTTCATTGCAATTAATATTAGATTTAATTATCGTTGGATCTTCATAATTAGAAAATGTTAATTTTATTGCAGAAAAATCCAAAACACGACAACGGCTTACGTGTTCAATCTCCTATAACGACTCCTCAATCTCAAGTAAACGCTGTGGCAGAAGAAACATTAAAGAAAGAAACTAAAGAGTGCAGCATTGGAGGAACAGAATCAATAGAAACGCTATCGATACCCGAAGTCGCACCTAATTTAGAAGAAGAATCTTACAATGAACAAGAAAGTATTCCATATTATGTTAAGACTACACCATATTATTCGATAAATGCAAGATTAAATCAAAGAGAAAAGGTACCTAGTCTTATTAATACGTCATCCAACAAGTATATCGAGAAAGTATATCCAGATAATACGATGGATGAAACAGCTTCAGTTTCGGAAGATGCAAATACTACGCAAACGGATGTAAAACCGCCTATTTGGGATTCTAACTTTAAGTTCCTTGGCTCATCCGTATCTAATAAAACTTCACACATTTACAATAAGTCTAGTGTTACATGTCACGTTTGTGGTAAACAATTAAGTAATCAATACAATTTACGAGTGCATATGGAAACTCACAGTAACAGCTCGTATAGTTGCACAGCATGCTCACATGTATCACGGTCACGGGATGCTTTAAGGAAACACATTTCGTATAGACATCCAGTGGCTACACCTCAAAAACGTCCACGGTATAATACTTCTAAACAATAGATCAGAGACACCAAACAACATACATTTTCATGTATGAATTACAATTCGTCCTTCCATTTACGCAGAGTTTTTCCGTTATACTTGGAAAAGAAAATGACTTTGTTGGTGTACATAAGAAAAGAAAATATTAGAAAGAAAAGTTGTATTAGAAATACATATTTATTTTTCACGTAAGTTAAAAAAAAAAAAAAAAAATAATAATCAATATTTTCTTCTTAATTAGATCACAAATTCATTATTCTCGTCGCTTGAAAAATACTTTAAAGTTTGACTTTAATTTTATTATTACTTTTGAAAAATTCGAGAAAAATATATTTTCTTGCCACGTAAATTCGGATCATGTAAATGGAGGGACGACGGATGTATTTGTAAGTATAGGCCAATTTGAGAATATTTTATTAGTAATATTTTGGAAATAAAATGATCCATTATTATCATTTCGTAGATAATCTGCTTTGAGTTAATGAAAGACATTAAATGTATAAATATATATAAATAATCTAGTTTTCTTCTCGTTATATATCTGTATAATTCTACAGATAAAAGATTAAACGTGTTTAGGTTTATACAGATTTATCTCCCGTTTTTAAATTGTTATTGTTGCCTTGTTACCATTACCATTTTAATAAAGGAGAAAATTATTGAATTCATTTCAATGCTTCTTTTTCTTCTTTATGAAATTCAAACTTGTTTAGAAATTGTACAAAGCTTATTATAACAAAACGTTTACACTTACGCACATAAAAGAAAATCGTTGAGAGAGATAATAATATATAATATTTTTAGGTATATATTATCAATGATAGTTGTAAGAAAAAAAGAAAATTTTTTTCATAATATAATACTTGTATAAGGATTTTTTCAAGAATATATAAATGAAGATTAATTATTTCGCTAAATAAAAATAAATCGTATAATATATATTCATTTCCCGCGTTGTATTGTATACCAAGAATCGTATTTAAAAATAATATACAATATGTTCAAAGCGACTAATTAAATAAATAAAATACATCCAAAGCTCAACTTTCTCAAAAAAGAGTTGTATAATATTATTTTGTTTTGTTTTGTTTTCCTCTTTAAAAGATATTTAAATTTTTTCTATACGCCATATTTTAGTATTACAGTCCTGACCGACCGATACCAAGGTCTCTTCGTCTAACCAAACTAAACGCGTTATTTGACTTTGCGGATGAGCATCTGAAACGTAATAAGTTTGTTAATTACTTTTCTTCAATTTAAAAGCAGATGGCATCTTAATTGCATACAGTCGTTGGACGATCTTAATTATATAAAAAAAGATTTACTTTTAATAATTGTATGCTTGGCTGGATTGGATACGCTCCAAATAATAATTGTAGTATCTAAACTTCCACTAGCAACCATTTCCGAATCGCGCGACCAAGCAACACAATTAACTCTTGCATTGTGAAAACCCCATTCTCTGTTGTGAGCGGGCTATAAAAATAATACGATGGCAAATAAACAAATATTTCGTGGCATAAATATATCTCTAACGAAATGTGTGTATAATATACCTTATATTCTGGAACAGCATAAAGAACAACTTTTCGATTAGCGTCACAGGCTACTAAATACTTATTGTCAGGACTGTATGCAACATCGGTAACTGGGCCTAAATGTACTACTTCAGTCTTTTGTGTTAACGTTGTTCCTACTAATTCATAAATATAAACCTGTAAATCGATTCGTAATAAATTATATAACATATCCGCGTATATCTATATTATCAAAGATTTGGTCATGCATTGTTAAGTAACTATTTTTATATTTAAATACATATATATGTGTATATGTATGTATGTTTAGAACTAACTTTATTGTCTGTTGCCGATCCTATAGCTACATTCGCATTATCTTGATTAATTGACACACAGGATGGTTCATATTCGGTTGGTATGCTTGATACTTTTCGGCCTTCTTGCGTAACTATTATCTTAAAATAAAATATTCATATTTTCCGAATATTTAAGGATTAGAAATATGATTAAAAAAAATATTGCACAATATTTGTTTTAATTACCTGCTTTACAGAAGCGACAATAACTTTATCTTCGAAAACGTCCAAGCCTCGTGGTTGAGAATCTAATTTGATAGAGTTATCCGAATACGCACAATTTTCTATGTCTACAGACCTTAAAGTATCATCGATGCCAGCAGTGTATAAAATATTTTTCGTAGCTTTCATTCCATTTATTTGATTTCCATGACCATTTCCCCGTACACGATCATTTTCTCCGGTTTCTGCATTCCAACTAGTTATATAACCATCGTGAGATCCCGTGTAAATGTTCGATCTGTCAGGACTTAGCGTTAAAACGGTAATTGGTTTGTTGTGACCCTAGAAGAAAACATTAATTCGCTATATATACACATATATGTATATATAACTTGAAAATAATTTATAAAAAGATAGAAGATGTAATATGTACATAGTATTAATTTAATGAAGTAGCGTAAATACCTTTATTATTCTTATAGGCTTCGAAGGATTATTGACGTCCAAGTAATTGATAAATCCACTGAGAGAAACAGTTAATAAGTAATCGCCTTGCCATAAACAACTAACCTGTAAAAACAAATTTTATAAAAAAATCTTTATCTTATTTTTTATTAATTTTTCGTCTCGATAATCGTTATTAGCATGTACAAACTTGTTGATCATCGACCGTAGTTCCCATATTGAATTCACTAATTAATGATCGAGTTTCTACATCCCATAATCTACACGTTTTATCTCCCGACGCAGTTAGTAATTGAGTACCATCTGGTTTCCAGCCGACCTGAAAATATGTAACTTTATTAATTATTGCTAATTTAATTTATTGTTGTATTCATATATTTGTATGAATGAATTAGAAAGAAAATAATATATATACATATATATATATATATGTTCTGTACCCCGTAAACACCACCTTGATGTGCAGGAGAGCCAACTTCACCAACAAGATTAGATGTCGTTCCATCATACATAAATACTTTTCCATTAAAGCCAGCGGATGCAAATAAATTTCCATTTGGGGAATAACGTACGGCTTGCACAAAACTAGAGTGATCTTGTTTTGTCATTCTAAATAAATAGAAAATATTAATATAAATAAGAAAGTGTTACAAATCTCTTTCATACATAAAATATATTTATAAATAATTTGTATAAATTTTACATACTTGAATTTAAATGGTGGGCCTTCAAAAATAGCAATGGTATTATCTTCGCTACCGGTAATCAATCTAAACGGTCTCGTTGGTCTGAAGTCACACGAGTTTATTGATTTACTTTGACCGGATATTTCGCCCACGGATGTACCAGTGTCTGCCATAAATACGTGTCCAAATCTGTGTAACGTTATATACACAGATTTAAAATTATTATACTAATTTAATAATAGATTAAGATATAATCCGTGTACTTGCCTCTCTCTTCCTTCACCGACCACAACCATCCGTTGACTATCAGGTGACCAAGCGATATCTTTGATTGGTCCACCGATTGGATGAAATTCATTTTTTAAAATATGTTCTTTATTCACTGTGTCCCAAATACGTACTTTCCCAGATTGATCTATAAATATTAATTGTGTAATATTTTTAATAATATTTGTTAAACATTAATCGTTTAAGACCCAAGCAGTACGATTGTATTGTTCAAGATTTCTTATTGAAAAATGCCATGTTATAGAAATTGTCAAATTGACACATTCTCATCATACTTGGCATTTGTTAGCATGATTTTTCTAAAGACCCCAAGGACTTAAACAGTTAATAATCTTTTTTTTTAATGTCAAGAATATGTAAGTCTTAAATAAATATTTACCACCCGATGCTATATAAAAACCACTTGGAGAATATTTGGCAAGGTTAACGGGACAAGAATGTTCTGTATAAATATCAGCGATTGCTGGATTCTAATAATACAGATAAACACACACACATGCGCAGGATCATGAAAAAAATAAAAAATATATTAATATTTTTTAAACATAGAAAAAAGGAAAATAGAAAAATTAATAGAATAAATTTAACTTACATCAATATTTCTAATAATGACGCTATTACCATTAGTATATAAGAAATTTTTTCCTTTTGGATCTCCACCTAATACAAGAGGATGCCCTCTTTGTGTCTTGGGCAATGCGGCCAATATATATTCTACAATTTAAATACAAAATATTAATTAAATATTAAAAAAATCTAATTAAACGCATAAAAGAATAGTGTAAAGTAAATGAAATAAAATGAAGGTATGATTCAATATTTATCTTATCAAAATGATTTTGGTAGCATAACACTACGTTCGTATAATATTTTTTAAAAAAATTTAATTCAACTGAAAGTGCACATATAAATATATATTTAATTTTATTATTAATAATACACATGTGTATATGCATAGTTGAAAAAAATGAATGAATCTTACTTGTTTCATATGACATTTCTATATCACTTCAATCTTTTTCTTCCTGGTGTTTTGACCTTTAAATAGCCTTAGACATCGACTAAATTCGGATCTGTCGTTTCCTATTAATAACAAATCATGTTCAATGACTCTTACTACTTGTTGTATTTTTATATTTTTACACTAACGTATACATTCGCACGTAGATGAATTTAAAAGAAAAAAAAAGGCTACATTCTAAAGATAGAAAAATGTTATTGGTAACAGAGTAATAGTACCTGTTGTGCGTGTTTTCCACAAACACTTATTCTTTTCGTTTCGGTACTTGAAAGCTTTTGGTGTATCAAAAGATATGGTGGTATACAAAGATATCTTTTCCACGCAGATGTCTCTCACAACACCGCACAAATATGTGTGTACGTGTATGTATCCTTGGGTAATGGTACTTTTGCTAGAGATATATATACATATATATATATATATCTCTATATATATATATATATATATACCTATGTATATTTTTTTCAAACTAAATTAAATACCAAGCCTTTTTTCGATGTAATATTCACCCGGTGTATATTAAATTCTCTGCTTGTATTGAGTCAGTGAGAAAGTTTTATTTAAATAGCACAGTGGCTGCTAGAGTTCCTCGAATATGACAAACCAAACGCATATATATCTCGAGAACAAATGAGCACGTGCACTCGGCACCACACTTGGCGACAGATTCCAGCGAACTCGTCGACCACCTCCAACTCCCAACCAGCTTTCCATCGCATCAACACTAACACATACCCATAACTCCCTCTCACATATACAATTGTTCCCGCCCTTCGCCTTATTTGGACGAAGCGTCAACGCTACCGGTTCTCCTCATCATTCGCTTAAAGCCACATTTTCATGCAACTTCAATCATATTCATTTACGCCAATTATCAAACTCCTACATCGGCTTTATCAATAATCTGAAATACCGGTTTTGACCAATGGTGATTTATCTTTACTGGAAATGTATTCTTGATAAGAATATGTTATCGATATTTGCGTCATTCATTTGATTTGATTTTTTATCGTTCAGTAATTTTTATATGATAACAGAAAAATATATAAGTTTATTTTCGTATAAGTACTTTTTTTTTTGACGAATTATAAAAAAGTTTATTTTACTAATAGTTTTTTATTTTACCCTATTTTATCCATTGTGCAATGCTTTATTTCTATTCGTTATATTCCAGGAAAATTTTTACAGATGGCGCCTCGTGTTTAAACTTAACACAATTTCAAAAATTTAAATAGAAGTGCGCATTTTTGTACGCATTTTTATTTATATAGATCAAGATCTATAAAATATATTTATTAATTATACTTTTTAATCAACTCTAAGGTATATATATATATA